TTATCGGTGCACCACTCTGGGCCGGCATGATCAGAATATTGCTTTAGATTGTGCTTATATAGTTCACAGCGTATATATAGAAAGTGTGAGTTTTGTGCGATTTGAATGGATTTCTGTGGGTTTTACGCTTCACTCACGTGCGCAAGTGGAAAGAAAATAGACTCGGAGCGTAAAAGAAAATGCTGGAGGACGGACTTGAGACACGCGTCTGGCGGAGCCGGTGTGGACTGAAACATTGGGTTAAAAATGGAAGCGTATCTGTTCCGTGAGACGGACGACTAAAACATGCGTCAGAAACGCTTTCGGTGTGAATTGGCCTTGACTGTCATTCGAGAGGGGCAGCAGGTCGAGCTGTTTAGCAGCTTTTTCTCCACACGTAATACGTGTCAGCTCTTTTGCCAACGGTGAACAAAGTTTTTCACAAACAGCGTGGGGCTTACCTGCTTTAGCAACCCGCAGACTTGCATTTTTCCTCGTTTCAGGAGTCTGTCTCAACAGTTAAACCTTTTTATTATATGCGCGGGGGAGCGAAACACGGAGAACCTGAAGGCTCCAGCTGAACTCTATTATGGGTAAAAGAAGATAAATGTCAGCAAAAACAGGAAATAAGAATCAAAGCTTAAAGCTTTTCACCCCTGTCACGGGAGAGACAAACTCACTTTAACAGAGCAGTCATCTCCATCCGAGCTGCCTTTCAGTGACTTAAATGAAGGAATAATTTGATTAATGAGAGAAAAAATAACATCTCTTCAGTGTTGTGAAGAAAATACTTCTGCATTTTATTGACCAAAAACCGGATTAGCGATTTTAATTGGTATAAAAAGGTATTAAGATATTAAGACCCATCGTCCTTCTGCTATGAAATTAAGGCCACAAACACTGTGTTGTGTGTGTGTGTGTGGCAGGACCTGGAAGTGGATTTGAAGATGACCAATCAGGAGAGCCCCCAGGACGCTGGCAGCCTGCTCTTCACAATGGACAGCCTGCCTGCTACAGAGCCAGCCTGTCTGTACACACGGCTCAGCGCCCTGCAAAGACTGAAGGTCCCTAGCCCACTCGTGCATTGAACATCTTTTAAAATAAGCTGTCCTGTTGCATGAGCTTTACTAGCTGGGTGACTGTGGGTGTTTTTCTTTGTGCAGAGGGACCTGACGTTCACAGTCTGCCTTCACTACCAGTATTCCCACATGGACGAGGAGGTCCAGGAGAGACAGCTGGTCACTGTTGGCAAACCGCTGGTAGCCAAACTCAACCTCCACGAGCCCCAGGCGCCCTGCTCTTCCTCCTTCTCCTCCAGCGACCTCCAGTGCCTCAGCCTCCCCGAGTCCACCTCCTTCTCAGAGCGCCTCGACTCAGGCAGCCTCACCAGCTTCCCTGCCTCCGAGACCTCCTCCCTGGGCTCGGCCTCCACCTGCTGGTCCTATTACTCCCATCCCGGGGACTTGACTGAGGTGGCGTCCCCCAGGAGAGTCAACCTGCCTGAGGAGACTCTCAGCCCCGAGTTCCTGGATCTAGACGGGCCCAGGCCACTTTCTGCAAATCCCCAAAGCCTGCCCCACGAACGCTTGACTGACGTCTCGTTTAGCTTCCGTAGCAAACAAAACTTCCACTCCTGTTAGTTTATTTAAAAGTAACACATTGCTGTGTGCACTTAGATCCATTTTTCTGGTGTTCAATTTGTTGTGCAACGCGCCTTTTTAAACAACAAACTATTTTGGCATTTGTTTTCTGTTTTTTTAAGCTGCTAAAATTTAAACGTTTAAAAACGAAACAACTTGTTTAGTAATATCTTTAAGTTACCAGGAATAATGCTGAACCAAAATTAATAAGGGCATAATGATTAATGTGCCTTTTTTAAAAATATGCTGTTTCATATGACTGTATACCAACATTTAATGTAGGTTCACTGATCAGAATGGGAACTATTAATTTTTTGTAATATGCCTGAGAAACAATCTTCTACATATGTATTTTTTGTATCTTTAAAACTGCTTTTTGTTTGTCTTTTTTTTTTCTTGGGCTCTGACATTTTCTGTGGAAGTGCTCTTCCTCAGAAAATGGGTGGCACGATTTTTAAGGGGAAAAAAATGCCCACCTGTCATGACCTTTTGATTAATCATGTCATAGTCTGTGAATTTCTGTTTCTTAAACACTTCCCGAGAATAACTGTTTCTCAAACGGCCTGATCATTTGTTTCTGTCTCCTCTTGCAGTGTTTTGTATCTTATTTTCAGTTGATTGCTGTGTCTGTCTTGATCTCAGCGTAGGAGGTTCATGTTCTCAGATCCTCCCTGGCTTTCTTGATCTCTGAACACCCAGTGATCGAAGGGAGTGAGGTCTACTGCAAAGCCAGGTTTAACCCACTGAAAGAGCTGGTTCTGTAGTTCAGGGCCTGTAGAAACCCAAGAAGACGACAAAATGGCGGGAGTGTGACAGTTACAGTACAGCTCTTTCAGTAGGGTTTCTTTGAGATGGAGATCCTGTTTGAACCGGCCGAGCCTACGATTGGCTGTTATCAAGAAGAGGCAGGAAACTGAGACAGTCCCCGCTTCTGAGAAAAGAGCGCTGCAGGGCTGTTCCCTAGTGGAAAGAGCAGACGGCGGACTGTGAAAAGAGGAAGCAGGCATGGACTTGAGGAGAACTCGGAAGACAGCGAGCCAGCTGTCCGAAGAGTGGCCGCAGAGCTGGTTTGGGCTCTTGGCACTGTTGGTGGGCACACCACCGACCAGGACGAGACCTGGGCTGCAAAAGTTCTGGGCACGGAGGGTGCACCTGCGAAAAGATACTGGAAGCACGTTGGTGTCTTTGCCTCCGCAGTCTGAATCCTTTTCCCATTATTGGGAACCTCAGGTTGCATAACTAGCCTAGGCGGTTCTGGAAGATCGTTCTCTGGCACCCTTGTGGCCAGCTCGTCTTTCATGCGACTTTGTTGCAGGGGTCCGTTGGCCATCTCCCTTCACCCTCGAGAAGGGAGCAGGTTCGGCTTTTAACGACCAGAATCTACCAGTGCAAAGAGTCGCCCACCTGAACTCCTTCCTGTTTCTTTGTGATCCTTCTGTCCATGCCATGATCATGTTTAAAGCGTATAAGCATACAATTAGCTTTGGGTTTCCTCCACCTTGCCTGAGTCTTGACAAGAATATCCCTCGCTCCAGCCTGGAGCTGCTGGTGATCGGTGACTTAGTGGCTTAGTCTTTCAGAGCAGCAGAAATGGATCTGTTTGACTGTGTTTGACACCACAGCTACAAAGATGATGGTTCTTCTTTGGAAACCACTGCATCTGTTCCCCTGTTAGCAGTAGATTCTGGCTTTTCTAAATAGTTCTAAATACGGAGCTTTCTGTAGCCCACATTCATGGCAACAGTGTGGACAGTGAATGATAGTGAAGCCCCTGCTGCTCTTATTGTTGGGCCTTCATTCTGCTTTATGTCTTCTGGTTTGGCGTAAGGAAGATACCATTGAGTTTTTTTTTGGTGGGGGGGGTACAGAGAGGCAGCTCCTTCACCTGTTAAAGAGAAAGGCCAGGTTAAAATGAGACACCTGGGCTAGCATGGCTAGCTAGGTCAGTAGAGCATGACGCTCTGAAACCCTTTGAGCACCATGCTGGGTGAGCCTTTCTGAATTTGTAAAATGGGCCTAGTGGCCCCATGCCATAGCAGTAACTGTCCATAGGCAATCCATGCATGATGACAAATGTATGACAGAGTGGAACCAGAGCCCTCCTTCCCAAACTAGATCTGCGGTTTGGGGTCACTAAAAACCTGCTTTAGGTGAGTCCGGCAACACATCAGGGGAGGGCCAATCCAATCTGTCCCGCCTGTCTTCGACAGCTGAAAAGACACAAACACAAGGCTGAAATTGAACCCGACACCCTGGAGCTGAGATGTAGCAGCACGGACCGTTTTCAACAGTGGCCGCTCCCCCCCCAAAAAACCTAATAAAACATGACATCGCCACCACCTCAACCTGCAGATCTTTCAGAAGTAACATTGATTTATTTTCAAACTGCTGGCATGTTGTTTTGGACATCTTAAAGAATCTCCTCTCTCAGATTGCAGGCGGCATGCTGTTGTGTACCGACAGCCCCAGGCCAGAGGAACCCAGCTCTCAAATGTCATAACCCAGAGACCATTTCCTTTTGCCACTGCTATATACCCCTAATTGCCAGGAATACCATAATGAGCTGAGGAGATCATGTTGGGAATGGTTTCCCACTAAACATTAACATTTCCAAGATTTTATGTGTAGATCAAGTAAATGATCTGAAGATTAGCAGTATAGCCACAGTCCCTTCATTGCCTTATCGAAGACATCCATTAGCAGTGCTGGGAATGCAAATGTGAATTTCCTTTTACCTAATCTGATTGAGCGACATAACTGAAAATCACCCTCGGTGCAGAGAAGTCTTTCCATTATGTCAGTCTGCATTGAACTTCAGACACTTAAGACTTCTGTGCTATCTGGGATTTTATTTTGCATTCCAGGTCATAGATACCTTTAATACCATCTAGTGTTTGGCCTTTAATAAAAGTTATTTAGTAAAACTCAAGTTATAGTACATATGTGTCGCAAATGGGCCTGACTGGATGAAGTAAAACATTTCATTTTTTACAGGTGGAATCTTGCCAATCAT